TCATCCTAATCTCATACTGCATTTAACTTCCATAAACATTCTTCTGGTTTCTCTTTGTATCAACCATTTCCATTAATACATTCTTAGGCTTGTAGCTTTCTCATAAAAAAGTTACCAACCCTAGAAATCTCAGGGAAATGTGGAAAGCTAGCAGACTAAGCATTTTTAAGTATCCTATTCAGAAGACTTAGGCCTCTGGCCCAGCCTGATAGCTCAACTCGCTAATCCTCCATTTTCAAGCACCAGCAACATATGTACTCTGTTTGCCCCATTTCAGATCAAGCTTTCTGCTTATCACCTGGGAACGCAGTACAAAATGCCCCCAAACCATTGCTGCTCCACTGATCCAGCTCATTACTAACGGCCTTTGAAAAGCAGAAGCTGGCCCACACACACGTGCTCCTGCTGCTCGTCTGGAAGATCTAGAAAAAGCTCTTGGCTTTGGTCCAGATCAGTCTCAAATGCCTTAGGAGCATTTTGTGATTGGGGCTAGTCTTTCTAGCCCCTTGATCACTACTTCCCTTTGATTTTCTGGTTTTCTCTGCCACATGATCAGTTATGAGCCCATCGAAGAAGGTCTTTTGGGCTCCAGCACAGGGGACTCCCGGACCAGGAAAGTACTCTCTTCCTTAGATGTCCATAGCCAGCCCCTCCCTCGGCTATGCTAGCCAGGTCGCCAGAACTGGTCTAATTGGTCAGACCAAATGAGTCTTTGCAAGGTGGACTCTTGCTAATACCCGACTTTAGTTCTTGTAGAAGGGGCAATGACGATGCCACACCTCACTGGAACTTCCTGGCTTTAACAGCAAGTACTTAGTTTTCTTCAAATAGTAAAGATGACAACAATCCCTCTGATCAGGTAGAGGGTGCTTCACCACGCGCAGACTAAATGCAAGTTCAACATACCTGTGTCTTTATTGGAAAGGGTCTTAAGCCTCAACACTGCAGGCTTTAAACTGATGTTTTGGGAGGAATGAGACACTCACTTCATACAGAAACACAAGAGTAAGCATGGAACACCAACAGGGACACCTACAACACCCACACGTAAGCACAGACTGAAACAAGGTCTCCAGAGTGCACTCCCACTACCACTGTGCCCCAAATGACTCTAGAACTTTGGGACAGAGCTGCTGGCACCGTCTCATCCCCACGCCTAGACCTTTGCCATGTTCAGCCAAACATACTCAAGCCACCCTAACGTGGATGTTTTGGGGACCGCCTCTCTGGCTAGCTTTCACGACGCACTCACACCCTGACCACTTTCAGGGATTCTTAGAAATAAATCCACACACGCCTTTGACTCCACAAAACGCACCCAACAGCATGTCGCTTTTTTAAATTCCAAGTCTTCCTACCTTAGCTGCTGAACTTCTTTTCTCTGAGCCTCCTCAGCTGTCTTCCATGCCGCATTCACAGGCTTTTCCGTGGCTGCCGGCTTGAGTTCGGGCTCCAGGTTCGAGCTGGGCGCTGGGAAACTGGAGAAGCACACATCTCCTTCTCTACCAGCATCTCACTACCACAAGCACAAAGATCTCAGCGACCCGTTTCTCGGAAGCAGCCTCGCCCATCCACTTCAAGGATATACTCAAACTCGGGCAGAGAGGCAAAAGCAGAGCTTCATCAAACACCTCGCATGGCCGCACGCCCGCACGCCCGCACGCACGCCCGGGGAGTTCACAGCAAGCTATTTATTTCCTAGCGCACAGGCCCCTCCAAGCCGCTCATTGGCTTGTTAACAATCAGGCTCCCCAGCTTCCTAGCATTGTCTCAGCTGTTTGGCTTCTAAAGCCCTATTTGCCTAAGAACTTTCAGGTGAAAGTGGCCTAGCTGGTGTCCGTTCTCAGCTGTAAGCCTCACTTTAGAAATGAATCGCACACTTCGTACAGTGCACACCGATTTGAAAAACAAAAGAGGTGGATTGTTTATAACCATCTGAGATCGTCAGTGTCCACTTATAACTGTTATTGATACGGCCCATAAACAACGAAGGCCTAATCCTCACTGTACCTACATTTAGGGCCCCAGGATACAAGAATTAACCTTACAATGAAAAGTTATTCTCCTACATGGCTGGGAGACACATTATGATTCTAGAGAGGAGAACATTTGGGGAAGGGGGAGGGGAGAGCCCACCACCAACTAAAATGTATCAAAAAACAATTAAAAAAAAAAGCAACCCGTTTCTTTTTTAATGAGAGAGAGAAAGAGTATCTTAATTTTGCTAGTTCACTATCCAAATATCTGTTGTGCCTGGGGACTGACAAAGCTGAAGCTAATAACTGGAGGCTCTGCATCACCTGGGAGCTGCGTGGAGACCCACAGCTGAAGTTCAAACCCAGGCACTCCAAAGTGGAATGTGGATCTTTCAAGTAACAAATAAAAGCTTTAATTTCCCACAACCTTATGGAAATTTGAATACTTAGCAAATGTCAAGATAACTTATTACTCTTTTCCTGCAATTCAAACACCATTGTTAAAAATATTTCTAAATAATGTGATAGAAAAATATAAACTCATCCTAACAGTTCTTCACACTTGTTGATAACCAACATGGAAGCTTCTGTTATAAATTTCAAAATTCTAAGCAACATGAAGGTGTTCCTTCTTGTATGTTTATCTTCCAGTGATAGAGACAAGTGTTTGGGCAATATGCAATGCAACTTTAGGTTTGCATTGCTAATATTATTCATCCGTCTTCTCATCTGGAAAGACTCAGAAAATATGTAACTAATTTTTTTTTTTTATCAAATGAGCCATGGAATAATTATCAAAATGACTCTTTCACCTGTAATGCCCCCAGCTGGCTGGAGGAATAACTGTGGAACCCCTAAAACTGGTTTCACGCACAAAAGAACAGCAAGCTGATTCCTAACGCTCAGATGGTGAAAGGAAGCTGCAATGCACAGAGCAGGGAGCCAGGCAGCTAGTGCTCCTTCCCGGAGGGGTCAGGAGGAAAGCTTGGTACATTCTGAGTTTGATCAGCTTCTCTGCCATGTCCTGGCCCTCCTTCAGCACAGCAATGACCTTACACTTCTTAGGGAGTTTGGGGGGGTGACACAGCAAGCTGCAGCCAGTCTCAGGACTACGGGCAGATGACATGTACTTTCTGTTTGCAGCCTGGAGTTCTTGGAAAAGAAACTCCTGATGACAAAACTGGGCATGGAGATATTTCAGAGAGAAAATAATTGATCTTGTGAGTGGTGAACTGGGGACTTCATAGGACTGATGGCACCACTCTCTCAAGTCAGGCAGTTAATTATAGCAAAAATAAATGCGGCAAGGGAAGCTGTTCCTCAGTATATTTTCCTCTTTAACTGAGGAAAGCTGGGAGACCATAGCCCGCTGGGACGTGGAGGTATCCAGAACCTTCCTTCCATACACCGTATGAGGTCTGAATGTGACATCCACTATATCAAGTTGAACAACACTGACCACCCATATATCTACATCTGAAACTCTGAACCTGTTACTGTTGGTTTATAAGGCATAAAAGAACTTCAACCAAGGATTCTCAGATGGGGAGCGAACGCTCCAGTATTCAGGTGCTTCCAATAGTATCAGAAATCCCCTACAAAGTGGCAGGAGACCCCAGAAGCTCATGTATTGATAGAAGCAGCCAGAGCTATGTGGATGGAAAAGAGGCCACACGCCAAGTGATACAGCAAGTGCGACCTAGATGACTAGACACGGAAGGCAAAGGTCCCCCTTCCAAGCCTCTAACAAAAGCCAGCCCAGCTACACCTTGTTTTTAGTAAGTCTATGTTCAGACTTCTGACATCATCAACTTCCAGAGGATGAACCTGGGTTGTTTAAAGTTGAGTTTATGGGATTTCATTACAGTAGCAACAGAAAACCATACTGTGAGCTAGAGCTCTAAAATTTCCTGCCAAGTATTTAAAAAAAATTTTTTGCATCAGTCAATTTTTAGAAACCTTAGTCAGAAAGAAATTTATCTCAAGTTCAGGCAAGCTGAGAGGACCATTGAAATTGTCTTGGTTAATCCCTGCTAAAAAGAAAAGGAAACACCTCTGCCTTCAAATCAAACCAGATATTTATATCACTAAACCCTTTGGGTTTATTTAAAGTATTTTGTGATTTTTTTTTTCATTGAACAGCTGTGTGTTTTCCTATCACAGAAATAAGCTAATTTTTCAGTTAACAATTATTTTGAAAAAAAAAAGAGAAAATTCTGAAATTTTGACTACATTTCTCCATAAAATGAAAAACTTGAAAGAGATTTGAAGATGCTGTCTACATTCAGGATAACAAAATAAACAGGAAAAGCCTAAATAAAAATACTTTGAGGATATTGGATACTTTTAAAGAACAATTCCAAAGTGTGCTTTTAATCAATTCAATCTCATATTTGTTGCACAACTATTACATACTGAAAAATAAAACTGAGCTAACACCCTTAAAATATGTGCAAATATATTAAAATATATAAATTTCTGTAGTCTCGTTACATAACATCATTGAAATTAGAGAAAAAGGATAATGAAAAAAAAAATAGAATGTGTAGTTCTGAATCCAGAAATGAGGAACTCATCGATAAGGAGTGTTTGGGCCGATTGCCAAGGAAGAATTAAAGATAATCTCTAAAAAGAGGGTTGAAATGGATTGTCAGCGAGAAAAACACATTTAAAAGCTAACTGAAGAAACTAATTTGTCAAAACCATGGAAACCACTTTTACAGGAGGGAGACATGATTGACAAATATTATACACAAAATGAACCAAGATGAAATAAATAATTGTGGTAGTAAAAGATGTTATTACACATAAAGAGTAATGGTTAAGTAGATATAATATACAAAACTCCCATGTATTGGACATTTAGGTAAGATACTTTGATGTTTTTCTGTAACATTTAATTTTAAACAAGCATAAGAGAGAAATTTTACATCTGTTTTACCGATGAGAAACCCGAGATTCAGAGACAGTAGAAGGCAGTTTAGAAAGTGGTCATCTGTGGCAGGGCACTTGGAGGGTGCAGTCATGGACAGCTTGCCGAAGCAGACCCCAGCTCTTGCGGATCCGGCTACCCTTGCCGGTCCTCGTAGATGGAGTACATTGTACACAAAGAAACTTGATGTTCCTGAAGAGATGCCTAACAGTGTACAATCAAGACAATACACAGAAGACATTACAAATGAGAAGCTGAGTTTGTTGAAAGTGGAAAACCAGCTTCAGGGTGGCCATCTGAAAGAGGTGATTCTTCAGGCTGAAAAGAAACAAAGTCTGGCAAGAAAAATGATGCCAGGGAAACCATGGGAGCCATTACTTGAAGAGTCTCCTGCCAACCACTGGCAAGGGGCCATGGAGTCATCGTTATTTCATTGTGATAGGTTGATAAGGAACTGGACTAATTAAACATCATATTTTAAAATGTAGCCATGTTATTGACATTTTGTGCTCAAGAAAACGATTACGAGACAAATTAAGGAGAGTTACAAAAGTTGGTCATTAGGATAACAGAGTCTTAGAAAGAAATTTTTGATTTGTATTTATTCAGATTTTAAGAATGGTATTTCTTTCAACAGAGACATTGTGAGGAGCTTGGGACGTTCAATAGAAAAGGTCCTATGAGGTAAAACACAACAAGAATCAGAAGGCCAGGTATCTTCAGGATAATCTTCAATCCGTTACTTACATTTCTAATTGCCCAGAAATGTTCGGCGGGGAAAGGCAAGGTACTTAGCTACTGTTTAAACAAATTTACAAGTCTCTGTTAGAAGTGAAGTAGCAACAGTGAACATGTTTAATTATGAGAAAACAGCAAAGAGTTGGTGATGACATTTTATATTGTGCTTGCACTGTGTGGCTGTGATGTAATGTTTATAAAGTTAAATACATACATACATATATATAAATAAAATTAGATTGCCAATTCATAAACAATGCCATTTAATTTACATTTGAATTATTTCATTTGCTGATTCATATTATCTCAACTTTATGATATTGTTAGTCTATCATCTTATCATCAAATTAAGATTTATTGTACTGCCAAAGAAATTAATACTTGAAATAAATGGCATGTTTTAATTATGCAGAGGCAGTTAGAAAAGCTTTTTCTTCTTTCATTTAAGGAAGTTATGTTTCTGACCCTTAAACTTTAACTTTAATGATCAATTCTACCCCATCAGAACAGGAGTAGAATTTCTTTCAAAAGGGGGATATTGAGTTTTTTGGATTATCTGCTATACAAACAGGCTTATATTCAGAATATCTTAGCCACATGCTAGAATTTTAAAGTGGAATCACTTAGCAAGCAATTTACATTAAATTTCTACTATGAGCACAGCTAGATCTCTAAAACAGAAGAAAAAAATGTTATTTGAGGAAAACCTTGGTGAGCTCATTGTTAAACAAAACTACTTAGCATGTGTTCCATTTCTTTTCCTCTCTTCCCAACATCATTTTTAAATATCTTGTTATTTCAACTTGGTATTTCTGATTCTGATTTTCTATGTGCATACATGTCTATGTAAGTTGCTATGTTTTATGGCAAAACAATCAGACTGAGAAAAATGGCATATTTCCTTTTAACTGCTAGTACATTTCTCCCCCTGTTGAACTATGAAGTGAAGGTTAAGAATGTGTTAATTAAGGTCTGCAGGAGTCATTTCTTCACAGTCAGATTGTTAAGTGTCTCCTCTGGAAGAAAAGTGGGAAAAGCCTTCCGGATTCTCAGAAGTCCAGGGTTTCTGCCCTTCATTCTGCTGCCAACATGAGTTCCTAAGCTAACACATTGTTGACCTCTCAGATGGCCTATCTACCAAAGAAGGAGGATTTTTTTTGTTGTTGTTTTCTTTCTTAATTTGTAATTTTATGTTTTTATTTTTTAAAGATTTTTCTTAATTTTTATTGGAAAGCCATATATACAAAGAGGAGAAGAAACAGAGAGGAAGATCTTCTTCTGTCCCTTGATTCACTCCCCAAGTAGCCGCAATGACTGGAGCTGAGCCAATCTGAAGCCAGGAGCCTGAAGACTCTCTGAGTCTCCCACATGGGTGCAGGGTCTCAAGGCTTTGGGCCATCCTTGACCGTTTCGAGATCATTAATAACAATTTAGGCGATGACACAAGTGAGCCTCGAAAACCACTAATTGAAGGTTAGAATCCTCCACCAATGTGAAAGCCTGCAAGTTCAGCAAAGTAGTCTTGGCCAGCTAGCCTTGTGGACATGACAGAGGCAGTTTTAAGAGAAAGAGGAAATGTGCAAAGACCCTGATGGCGATTTCATGGCTGCATATCATTACTTCTGCCAGATTCTGTTGGTTGAGGAGTCCACAAATTGTGATGGGGTAATTTGCAGCCACACTGGAAAGCATCTAGACAGAGTAAGAGGTGAAGGTTTGGGGAAGTTGTAGAATCCACAATGTGTCAATCTTAGTTTTGTCCTTTCTGGCCTTATAACTCTACCTGCAAAAATTAGCAGAAGTAGGAGAAAGACTTTCTGAGGAAAAGATATTCTGAAAATAGCATTGAGAAAACTTACCTAAAATACAGTTTCTTAAATATTCAGAGAATCTTTGCAAGTGGCACCCATACCACAGGATAATTTCTGTAAAGGAACCCAAACATTTGTTTGTGCATGCAAAACCATGATTAACAAGACAAACACTACTCATCTAGCTTCTTCTGGCTTTGGTTTTTTTAGCCAAAAATGTCTCCTCAGGTGTGGTGCTGACGCAAGACTATACCCTAAGACATGAAGCCACACTGCTTTCCATTCATTTGTCTATCAATTCAAAGCCATTGGGTAATAAGATTTAACAATGGAACTTGCATCTTTAGGTTATTTAAATAAGATTAACACAAATTAGGCTAAATAGCTGTTTAATACTCAATTGTATGTTTCTGGTTAATAATTTAGTTTTGATGAGCTGGAAGAAGCAGCAATATAGTATAGTGGGAGACTAGTCAAAATGAGTAAGTATATACTAACAAATATTTTGGTGTGAAGAATATACACACAGATGAAAAAACTCATAGGGTAGCAGCTGTGAAAATTTTCAAATTTGTATAAAGCGGATATGAGATGGAATAAGGACATAGTGAGGGTGAGAAGGAACGATAATAACCACAGAGAATTAGACTTGCAAAAATGGTAGAATGCTACAATGAAGAGATTAGCACAGTAAGAAAGGATGCAGAACAATCTACAAGTATTTGAAATAGTTTGTTACATAGAGCTCTGTGTCCAACAGCAGAGACAATGAGTTCATGTTCTGTTGAGTGTGATCTGAGATGATAGCAAGAGAAATTTCACCACAATTGTTGCTGAAATGTTAAAATGGACTTCAGAAACAAAGAAAAATGTCAAAGCCAAGCCAGAGGACACGAGGATCAGGTTGAACCTAGTTGTCCTACCACGTAGTGGACATAGGGAAATCATCACACAGATGACTGATCAATAATGCTGATCACTGCCCCAAATCAAAGGCTCAAGCCTTAGAGAACCATTCAGAAATATCTATTTAACTAAAATTATTGAAAACACTCTCAGCATGTTGGAACTCAATGCTGTAAGACAACATTTTGATACTTTTCAATATTAAGAGTTTTATGAACATTTTCATCTGATATCTCTTTCCCTGCTCATCCGCATGTTCTAGTATGCAAATACTTCTCAGTTCTTTGAAAGTGCATTAAGTCTAGGAGGCTCAATGCTGTAGGGTGGCATTCAGTCTCCCAGAGTAGTAATTTGCTAAATAGTAGGGTGGGGTACTCTCTCTCTGGCATCCAAGGAAGTGAACTGAAGCACAGAAATAGGGGCCTTTTTCATGTTCAAAAGAGCTTATTATAGAACTGTGGCAGAAGATCCAGTGAACACAGGGCAAGCGTGCTACATAAAATAGAAAAGCAGGTTTCGCTTTGATAATATATTATTTCCAATTGGCTAATAAAAGGAAAATGGCATCTAAAAAGCGTGCAATTTTGCTAATTAGATCAGCATGATCTCTGCAGTCTTCTCCAAAAGTATTCAATACTTTAGGCTATTTAAATGCATTTATCCCTTTCTGCAAGGAACGAAATGGAGAGCATACTTTCGATGGTGAGTATAGCTTTCTTTTTATCTAGGACAAAGCATTTCTCTCATACTTACCAAACATCTCGTCTTCAAGTAACAGGGATTTATTTTGCATCAGTTCAAGTTGCCCTGTCTGCCAGAATGATCCATGTTCAATTACTTTTAGAATGACTGGAACAACTCAATTCAATTGTGCTTCCCCCACCCAGGCATTTTTAAAGGCAGGGAAATTGTTTTAATATTTTGAAAGGCATCCATTAAGATGACTCCACTTAAAGCACTAAGTAGTTTAATGGCATTTTCAGTGCTACGCAAAATATTCTAACCACGGAGAAAAATACAGCTAATACGTAGGAGCTCATTAACTGGCATATGGAAGTCTAACGCAGCAGCACGAAAATTCTGAGTAGTTAGCAGAGACTTTATTTTTTTTTAATTTTAATGGAAATAAATAGGACAAAATGGTTACTCTAAGCATCTACTTGACAAGTAATTGTATTGGGATTGGATTTATAGAAATCAGAATTGATCTGTAAAGTTGCAGCACAGACATAATATACAATCGTTTTTTAAACTTAATGTGTCTAAGAAAACATTTCAATTAAATTACTATGAAATGCTAAATTAAATACAGACTAGAGTTCATGTTGCAAGAGAGTGACATTGGAAGAATCATTTCAATAAGGCACATTACACACAGGTCTAGTTTATGATGTGTGTTGTACTTTCTACATTTTTTTTTCTGTCAGTACCAGAAAGTGGCTAAATCCCCCAAAAAAACACAAAGTAAATGAAATGAAATCAGAGATTGGACTCAGAGGAAGCATTCACCTGAAGCCTGGGTTCTTCTAATTTGCTTGCAAGGCACAGAATATTTCCCAGAATACTTATTTACTTTGAAGATAAATCATGTTGCTGGCCAGCCTTCACTTACTTTTCCCAGTGGTAGTGCTTCCTTTACATCAGACAATGCTAATAACTAATTCTCCTCAAAGGAAGCATTAAAAAAGAAGCCTTTGATCTAAATCTTGAATGGAATCATAAATACATCAGACTACCAAAATGTGTGTGTTTATTTTCAACTCATCCAAATCATATAACTGTTCAGTTTCTATTTCTGGCATATGTGAAAATGGATAATATGACACTTAAAAAGAAAAATAGACAACTTTCATTTGTCATTCAGTATTTTAAAGGGAATTGTAACAAATGTTTGAAGTAAAATATTATTGGTACAGACTATCCTATGTTAAATTCCACATGATGCAAACCAAAACAAAATTCATTTTCAACAAATAATCTTCTTAAGCTACTGTCATGAGAAATTTTAAGTC